GTTCCATGTCGCAATCCAAAAAAGGAAACCAAAGTGGTCGCAAAGGTGGTTGCAATCAGGTGTCGCAAACCATTTTTATATGTCGCAAATATGGTTGCAACCATCACCAAGAATTGTGACCAGCATCTATAGAAAAATTGGATTTATCATCAAAAATATTGAGCATAGCAACTGACAGTGCAGCAGCAATTGGTAATGTTGTGCATGAAAATTAATTAAATTTTGGGGTGGGTTACAATAAGGATACCGGCTGCAACTTTTGATGATGGTTGCTACCACCTTTGCGTCATATAAAAATGATTGCAACCACTGGTTGCAACCACCTTTACGACCATTTTGTTTCCTTTTTTGGATTGCGACATGGAACACTAGGTTACAATATTCCAATTGGCTAATTTGAGCATGACTTTCAAATAATTTGGAGGGGAAATAAGAAATGAATGTTTTTACAAATAATAATAAGGGTTATACCATTGTGGTTCCCACATATTCAATATTGCTGTATGGTATGGATTGCAAGTTCATGATGAGACAGTCACTAAAGTGCATAATTTATGAAGGAGGTCATAATTCTATAATCTTATGGAGGATTTTAACAGATATTTCAATCACAATTAATTGAATTATGGTGCTACAATTTGATATAGAGATTAGGCGGAACTCCAGCTATTTGATGCAAACAATTTAAAGCACAAGCAAATATGAAGAGAATAGATAGTAGTGGTGTTTAAAATAGACTTAATTGATGGAACAAATAATTTGGTTTTTTAAAAAAAATTTTCATTTTTATAAAAATAGGTCACCAATAAAATTATAAAACTGTGGTTAAGCTTGGATTTGAACCACAGTTCAAACCGTGGTGGTAAACCACCAGTCAGTGCGGTTCACTAGCCAAACTGGCAGTTTATAAACTGAACAGAACCATTCCCATCCCTACCAACAAGAGAGATTGTTCTGGGAACACAAAAATTAACAGGAGGGAACACAAATTTTAACCCATGCAATTTGTTGATTGACCAATTAAAATTGTGAATTTATAGTGTAGAAATAAATATGGGTTTGATTCATTTTGTCAACAATCACTTCACCAACAATTTTTTTATTAATGAATTTAAGAAGTTGAAAGTAACCATTGAAATAGTCTAATAAATTAAATTTTACTATATACTAGAAAATTTATTTAAAGGGTTGGTTTTGACTTGGTTGAGGAATAACTCTTCCTAACTCTTCTCTTGACCATATCTCTCAATATAATCAAATGACCTTATATAATGAATGTCAATGAAATGATTGTAAACACAACAAATTTAAGATACATGATTGAGATGAAAAATGAACAATGTATGAAAAATCAAGCAAATTTATTTAATAAAAATAAAAATTTACAACCAAAAAATTTTTTTTGCATGTTCTAATAAAATTTCCATTGTTGCTGCATCATCTGTTGCTGACTCAACATTACCCGAATCATCATCAACTGTATTTTTGTTATTTTTGATAAATTGATTTTCATTTAATATTTTCATCATACTTTCTTTTAGTGTGTTGACTTTTTTTTTGATTCGACTTGAAGATAGTCCAAGATATCAACATTTAGATTGACACCTTTGTAGACAATGATTGTGATAACATGAGTGCACTGCAATTATTCAAATTAGTATAATTAGTGTAATCACAATATATGTAATTGCAAAAAATGTTTGTGGATGGTTTTCTAGAAATAACAAAGTTTTAGTAAATAAGGGATACTGATTTGTGCTTGATGTACTGATAGTATCAGATTGTCTCTGGACATGAATCTATGATAATTGTCAATATTCAACATGAATGTGCTTTTTGTAAGTACATTCTCTACATATTTCTCATGTTCATCTGCAACTTGCTTCTTTTTACAATCTACTGTTCTTGATGTTGTAGTTGCTCCAAGACTTGTATCTACTGAGTCTAAATAGAATGCAAGGTATTTGATGTTATCATTGGCATAACAATCAAATGCATCACCCAAGTATTAATAACACCAAGGGCATGCATAATGAAACTTTTAATAATGCATGTCTACCCAGATTTCTGGGGCTTACAATAAATAGGGAGGATTAAAAAAATATTTCTCTTCCCATAGTATGGTTACTTATGAATAATAAATCTGATGTTGATTGCAGGTGTCAGATATAATTAAAATTTCCTGTCACAAACATGCAAACTGGTGCTTTCACACACCCTCATAATTGTGAAATTTCTCCCACAGGTGAAGGCCATCCATATGTTGGAAGGCTTTGGATAAAACATTCCTTATCTTCCCCTCATATCAGACTTAGCATTCATTACTGATAGCTGGTGCTTGTGTGATGATTGCTTTGTGTTATACCCCTGTAGAATAAAGTTGGTGTCTGCAATTGGTTCCAAAATTCTCCAACTCAGGAGGTTGCAACCTGGGTTGTTGTTTTGGATTTTCCCTGGATTCAGAGTTTTGAGTCCTGGGTTGCTGTCTTGTTGGTGACATGTCAACTCACCCACATCCTACCCCATTTTTAAATAACAAATTAGTTGGTCAAATAAAATTAAAGAGAAATAGAAATTTATGAAAATGATTAATTTATACATAAAAAAAAAAAAACTGATCCATTTTATTTTACAGCCTTCTTCCTAACATCAGGGCCAAATGCAAATTTCAGGCTCACTAACCTCCTCTGTATTGTCTTGGTGCATTCCAAGGCAAAACGACCCCCCTGAATTTAGCAACATCATTGTATCATCGAGGAATGCAAGTCAGATTAGCCTTATGTACATGAGGAATGTGTGAGAATGACTGTAAAGTGTTTAAGGTAGCATGCGTGCTTCAACATCTGTAAATTTCCGATAATCAAACATTGTACATCGAAATGTTTCATATTCAACGGTGTGCTGTCTTGACATCTTCATGTAATTATATATTTATATTAATATTAATATTACTGATCATGAAAAGCAAATCACCAATCGTTTGCTATCTTGACAAGGATCTTATAATTACCCAGCAAGTTCTGCTTCGCGTTGATTTCAATAATATACAGTGTGTAAAGAAATTATTGGCAATTACATATTTGATCATTACACAACAACCACTGTAGCCAGGGTTGTGCAATTTCATTGTATGAGAGGAATCTTTGTATGTACATATGCACGTACATATGTACGACTGACTTCGTACCATTGAGTTCGTACAGTTTTGTTGTGGTTGTACACCTGTATGAGGAAATTTTACATATGTACATATGTATGATGTATCAGGAATGATGATTTCTGCAATGACAAAATATTACTTTGTAAAATCCTATAATAATATTATTATTAAGCCGATAACCCTATTATATAATTAATGGAT